CGGGGCCGGGGGCGCCGGGGGCGGCGGGGCCGAACCTGGGGCCGCGGGCTGGCGTTGACGCTGGCCCGCGGTCCCTAGGACGTGTTTCTTATGATCCGGCGCCATAAGACTACCATCTTCACGGACGCCAAGGAATCGAGCACCGTGTTCGAACTGAAGCGCATAGTCGAGGGCATCCTCAAGCGGCCGCCCGACGAGCAGCGGCTGTACAAGGTATGGCGAGCGGGCGGGCGCGGCAGTTGAGCGCGTGGGGGCGAAGCAGGACGCCGGGCAAGGGGTCTCAGATCGCGTGGTGGGGCTCGAGGCATCGGGTGTCTGGCGGACCGCCCCGCCCTATGGAGCGGCCTTGCTCTACGGTTGGGGAAACTGAGGTTCTGCTCAGTGTCTTATGCAGCAGAAGGTGGTTGGCAGAGCCAGGCTTTGAACTGCCTAATCCTCAGCCTGCTGGGGACCCACTTGCATCACGCTGCCTGAGGGTGGAGTAGAGCTCGATGAATTGTGAAGATAGTCAAGACCCCCAGTGTGCTTCACCTATCCAGTGTCTGTTGCCTGCTGTTCACGAACCTTTTCCATGCAGGCACACATCTTTTCACCATACAAAACAACTGCTGTTTTCAGTAAGCCTGGCTGCGGAGTTGGGGTCCTCATTGGGGGAATCTCATGTAACAGACCTGATTCAGGTTTCCCAGAATCATGATGTCAGTCACTTAAGTGCATTGATCTAATTCTAGCTGGCAACAGGAGCTGACCTTTTGTTCCAGGTCAAAGCCTGGCTTTCTATTTCTGAAGGGTTTTTCTCTCTGATACCTACTGGGGCTTCCCTTGGAAAGACCCTTCTACCATCCCAGGAGCCACATACTGTTTTTAGTGCTTCCTGTGCTCCTCTAGGTCATTGAAACTTTCTGGCTGCCCTGTGAGTTGAGAATTCCAGCAGATTTCCCCCTTCCCCCTTTTTTCCAGTGTCTCTGGTAGCCCTGACTGGCCTGGAATTCAACTATGTAGACCAGGCTGGCCTTAAACTCAGAGATCATCCACCTGCCTCTGCCTCCCTAGTGCTGGGATGGTCCCACCGTGTCTGGCTTGCAATTCCTGTTTTAAGATTGAAGTTTTTGATATCAGAAAGCTTGACCAAGGGGCTGATCATAGCTAACATAGCATGTGAAGCCCTGGGGTTAGAGCTGCAGCACCTACCATTTGGTAGGTGGAAGCAGGAAGATCAGAAGTTCAAGGTCATTTGTTGGAGTTCAGTGCCCATCCTTGTGATTTGAATTTTTTTATTTTTAATATGTGTGTGAGTATGTGTATGTGTATGTGAGTACAGGCCAAAGGCATCAGAACCCTGGAGCTGGAATTGTGAGGCAACCCACATAGGTGCTAAGAACCCAGGTCCTCTGCAGAAGCTCTTAACTGCTAAGCCATCTCCAGCCCTGATTTGGAAATTTGTGGCTTTAGTTTTGAAATGTGTATTTTACTTGGGGATGTCTTGTCATAGTTGCTGGCCAAAGGTCTTTGGGACTTGCCCCTCTCGGACTTCTCCCCAGACCCTGCTTCTTTCCTCAGGACGACCAGCTCCTTGATGACGGAAAAACTCTGGGCGAGTGTGGCTTCACCAGTCAGACAGCACGGCCACAGGCCCCAGCGACAGTGGGCCTGGCCTTCCGAGCAGGTAAGGTAGATGGTAGCTGGCAATCTGATAACCAGAGAAGAGGATCTTAAGGGAGCCTGTAGCACAGTGTTCCAAACTTTCAGAGAATGACTTTCTAGTTCACAAGTAGTGTTTCCCCATTAAAAAAAAAAAAAAAAAAAAAAGTGCTGAGGGGGGTGTGGTGGCACACACCTTTGATCCCTGCAGAGGCAGGCCAATCTGACAGTTCAAGGCCAGCCTGGTCAGCTGGGGCTACAAGGAGACCCTGTCTCAAAAAAAAAAAAAAAAAAAAAAAAAAGAAAAAAAAAGAAATTGCTCACAAAGGAAAAATTATTCAGAGGTAATTTAAAGATTCCTAGTCCCGGTACCAGCTCACATTACAGAGGATTTACTGAGTTCTCGTTCCAGCTAATCCTTTCAATTGTCCTGGGAGGTTAGCACTGACATTGTCCCAAGACAAACTGAGAGGAAGGCTACAGGCTCTTGGTGGAGCTGGATGCCGTATTTGTGCAAAGAATCTTTTCATCCCCCAGCATCTTTGACAATTGAATTGTGCCATTTTTAAGGATAAGTAAAGTATGCCTGAGGAAGTGGGTTCACTTCCTGGACATTAGTTCAGGAACCAGGTTCAGAGATAACTGTCTCATCCATCCTACTCCATACTTGCCAAAGCTTTAGAACCGTCGTGGAGGGAGTGGTTTATTTCCTTTCACTTAAGAAAAATGGATGGTAGATTTTACATTTTTATTCTTTAGAACCTAAAAGGTAGGGGCTGGAGAGATGGCCTAGAGGTTAAGAGTACTGACTGCTCTTACAGAGGACTGTCCTTAACTCCAGTTCCAGGGGAATCTGAAGCCCTCTTCTGACCTCCACAGCATTGCACAACACAGGTGCACTCACATACATGCAGGCAATACACTCGTACACATAAAATAAAAATTAAAAAAAAAAACCAAAAACTTAAAAGGCTATAGAGCTTTTTCCCACTGCTGTAGATCCAGGGTCGGTGGATGGCTGACGGCATGTACATATCAAGATAGGAATAGCAAGGGCTGAGAAGGGAAGAGTATAGTTGGAGATACACTTAATCCTCATGAAATAAATTCCCACCTCCACAGCAATGTGATAGGACCAGTGGCCGTATTTGTGCTGTGTAAGATAGCTGCCTGTGAGGTGACACAGAGGCACATGCAGGGTTGGTGAAGACATTGTACAAGCCAGGCCTCAAGTGGGTTCCCTTTTTGAAGGCTGAAAGCACATCTGATCTGCTTCCTAAGCCAAGTCAAGGTAGTGTTCCCTGAGAAGTACTCTAGGTATTCACATTACTCTGGAAGATGTTGATAGCCCTATTTTGCAGGTTTGAAAACCAAATCAAGGGATGTGACTTGTTTTTCTGTGATAGTGTGGCATTGGATATGGTTGTAACTGGACCCCAGGCCCTACTGTCCCTGTGGAATATGGAATCTGTGTAACAGGCAGTGGGATGGTTGCTTTTACCATCGAAAGTTGCAAAAAAGCACTTCCTGGGAGCAGCTACAAGAGTCAGCATTGAGTTGCCTAGATTGGGTGATGTACCTTCTCCTACTCTTAGGGAGATACTTTAAATGTCATTGAGTAATTTTGAGTGTATTGCCTGCATGTAAGCGTACCCGCGTCATGCAGTGCCCAGAAGGGTGTTCGATTCCCTTGGAACTGGAGTTAACTGGAATTAGCCATTGTGTAGGTGCTGGGAATCAAACTTGGGTCCACAAGAGGACTCCCATCTCTCTTGAAGACTAGATGAAAACACATCAAGTTTCCTAACCCCCATTCCCAGTTATGACAACCAACAGGGTCTCCAAACACACATGGGTACCTCATTAGTTGGAAACTGACCCAGATGGTTTTCCTAGGTAGATGCAATATGTGAGGTGCCATTCCTTTTTGTCAACAATGGGAATTAAGAGCTATTTAAGTGGGGTAAACTGCCAATCAAAAAAAAAAAATAGGGCTGGGGACAGTCAGATAAGTGATTGCCTAGTATGTATGAAGCCCTGGGTCCAGTCTCTAGCTTCACATGTAAAAGACTATGTGGCCAACCTAGGGTACATAAGACCTGGCCTTAAAAACAGCAATTACAGCCAGTGGTTATATCCCATCTGTTCCCAAGGCAGCACCCAGGCTGTTGAGAGATTGACTCTATTGGAATGCTGTGGCTTTGAAGTTTGAAGGGCAAGGACTGGAGATTAAAATCTTGTGCATGTGCGGGGCATGCATACAGGCCAGAGGATTGACTTTATGGGGTATGATTTAAGTTTTAAGCAGAGGGAATAGGAAATAGTTTTGGGTTTTCCTGTCACTGGCTATTTGGTGAAGGTGAAAATGGGCAGGTTTGCTGGTTAATTTGCCACAAAGTCAGGCGCACAGCCAAGGTGAAGTCATTGTGAAGCTTTGTGAAAGGTGCCTGTGTGAGCTCTCCCCTATACCCCACCCCCACCCCCGCTAAAGGTTACAAGTGCAGGAAAAGTGGGGCACCTTCTCCAGCTCTGGTCCCTTCCCACAGATGATGCCTTTGAAGCCCTGCGCATCGAGCCCTTCTCCAGCCCTCCGGAGCTTCCAGATGTGATGAAGCCACAGGACTCTGGAGGCAGTGCCAATGAACAAGCTGTGCAGTGAGGGCTCTGGGCCCAACCTGTGACCCATTCCCCCCAATAAAAAGATTTGGGTGTCTGCTGGGCTGCTGCCTCTTTCTCTTATCCGTTCCCTTCCCAGGATGTGCTGTCCAAACACCCTTACACACAAATTCAAAACCAGGTTATTAAAAGCTTCTCTAGCAGTCTTATCACACAATCACTGCGTTTCATTTTTTATTTGACAGAAAAGTTGCTCTTGCTGTACAGATTTTAAAAAAACCAAAATGCCTCTAAGAAACATGAAAAGTTGGGGGGAGGGGGCCACAACCTCATGGGGGGGTGAAGTAGGGCCAACCAACTTCAACTCTTTCCCCTCCCAAGAACACATGACCAACCAAGTCTTATTCACCCCCAAGAACTAGGGGACCGGACCACAGCTCCCTAGGCCTTTCTGACTCCAGGCCTGATGTCCTGAACTGTATCCCACCCTCTCCCCAAACTCTCATGCTCCCTCCCACCCCAAACCCCCCAAAACACATGAACCAGAAAAAACTCACAAAGATTAACATTTCACAGGAACAAAACGGGAAAAATAAAAGGGAGAGGGAAATCCCCCCTCCCCCTCACAAGATGCTGAAGTTCAAGAGGGCAGACAAAAACCCCCTCCCATGACTCTTCTGGAGAAATGAAGACTCCTTGTGCCTCCAGAGCATGAGTATGGTAGAATTTATGGAGACCTGCAACAGAAGAATGAACTGATCGATGTCGAAGTGCCACCAAGCCCTCAAGTTCAGTTTTCTGTGTTCTTTCACAAATGTCCCTTCTCCCACCACCTGGCAGTACCAGCTCTGAGGCCAGACTTCCAAAAGAGACACACCTGGAGGAGCGGTGCCGATTGGGACGAGGACTAGGTGTCTCCTTCCTGCGCTTGTGCCCTGGAGAATGGCTGTCCCCACGCTGGCCTCTCCATGCAACCCGCTCGCTGCTAACACAAGATAAAAATCAAGTCTGAGGACACCTAATAAGCCTCAATTTTCTTTCCTCATATGTCAGAGATGGTCAGAAGAGCTACATACTGCTAGTTAACTGCTATGGTCCCTACCTCTGTTGATCCCTTGGTAAAGGTTGGGGCGAGGGCTGGCAACGCTCCACAGGAGAGTAACTGAGGGACCGAGAATCCCGAAGAGAGTCTATTGGCTTTCGAGGGCTTCGAGACCTAGGGAACAGAGTAGGCCTCTATAGCACCGCACCCTTCCAAACCCACCAGCGAGCACTCAGGACCACCCGCCCAGGTCCTGACCACCAAACCTCACACCACACAGGGCCAGCCTCAGACCCACCTTTGTCCGCACTCACCCATCCGCCCGCACACCATCCACCGAGTGCCCCCAGTGGGCATGGCACAGGGTGCAGCGGGGGACGCAAAGAAAAAGAGTCCCTGCCCTTGGAGGAGCTTGGTTTGGTAGTGGAGGAGGCCAACAAGGGAGGCATACATGCCTCCTATGTGGGAAACATCCCAGCAGGGATAGATGTACATAGGCCTGGGGACCCAGAGCAAGGCATGGGGACCTGGGCAGGGAAAGGGCAGGGCAGTCTTCTCGAAGGTGCTGTTTGAGTGGAGTCCTGCAGAACGAGTTCACCAGGCAGACAAGGAAATCCCAGGCAGAAGGAACAGCATGTCCAAAGGCATGGGGCTCTCCTTAGACTGCAAGGCGCTGGGTATGGCCGGAACACAGGGTATGTGTGGGGGCGGGCAGGAGGAGCACAGGGCGGGCAAGGGCAGCTGGTGAAGAGCCTCACACGCCATTCCCGCAGAGGTGGCACTTTATCCTGCAGGCCACAGGGCGTCGCAGAAGGATTTGTGGAGTGAAGGGAAGTAACCAGATGTGCGTTTTAGAAAGATCCCTCTGGCTACGTGTGGAAGAGAATGGCGTGGAGGCAGGGAGACAGGGAGGAGACTGTGGACAGAGTCGGGAGAAGATGACGGTGGCCAGACCAGAGCCCTGCAGCAGCAATGGGGAGACTTAGAGCTAGAATCTCTGGGACCAGGCTGCATGTCCGGGGAGGGGAGAGGGAGGAAGAATCCTATGACTTCCCAGTTCTGGTTTGGGCCCCCACTTGGATAAGTGCAGCCCTTGACCAGAACACAGCACTGTGGGAGGATGGGAGAGGAGTGCCGGACTCCTCCAATACAACCAGACACAGACGTCCACACGAGGAACCTCACCCAGGGTCCCTTTTCTGCAAGAGTCACCCCCACCCCTTTTCCACCACAGGCAAGGCAGCACTCACCTCCGCTCGCCAGGGGGTGGCTTCTTGGGGCTTGCAGGTTTGGGCAAGGCCTGAAGGCCTGGCTTAGTAGGGGAGGGGGAGGAGGAGGAAGATGAGGAGGAAGAGGAAGAGGAGGAAGAGGAAGAGGAGGAGGAGGAGGAAGAGGAGGAGGAGGAGGAAGAGGAGGAAGAGGAGGAAGAGGAGCTGGAACTGGAACTGCTAGAACGCCTCTTCCGTTTGGCTGGGGCTGGCTCTTGAGGACGTCCCTCTCGAACAGCCTCCTTTGGGGCTGGAATGGGGCTGGGAACCCTGTGAGAGAAAAGCAGTGTCACAAAGAGACAAGATGCCCCAGCCCCAACCCTACCTTCCTTGGCCTGGAGGAATGGCAGTGGGGGAGGGGTGCCTGAGAAAGGCCCTGGGAACATATAAAGGCAAACCAGTGAGTAGTACTTCTCTGGAGCAGTGGCCAGAGCTGACCCAACCTCTGCTAACACAAGCAACAGGCTGGGGGCCCCAGCACAAGGGATCAAGGTTAAACCTCAAGAATGTCCCTGATGGAGGAAAAAGGCCCCTGGACTCAGATGTGGAAGCTGAAGCTGGGTTGTCTCCTTCCTTGGAGAGCCACAGCTTAGGGAGGCTTCTGTGAGTGCAGGTTGGCTGGGGAGGGGCCGTCCTGCCTGGAGGCAGGGAGAGGGATGGGATGACCTCTGAAGATCCTTCCAGCCCAGGGAGTTCCTCTTGAGGTCTAACTGCCATCCCTCCTGCTGTAAAATTAAGTCCATTTCCTCTAGTTCTGTCCTCTGTAGAGATGGAAAACTTATCATTATCCTCTGGAGAATTAACCTTTGGAGACTTATCTGTCCCATCCCTCCCCACAAAGCCCCCATCCCAGCATTCTGTTCTCCCGCTTGAAGGTGAAGGTCCCCCAAGTATCTGAGCCAAGATTTTCTCCCTCCCCACTCTCCCACCCATAATCCTTTCCACCGAAGATTACTTAAAGTTCCCTCACCTTTTTAGTGCAACCTCAGGTTGAGCAGGAAGGCTGGAGCCCTCAGAATCACTAGAACTGGAGCCAGAAGAAGAGGACGATGATGATGATGAGGAGGAGGAGGAGGAGGAGCTAGATGATGATGAAGAGGAGGAAGAACTCCGACGTTCCTTTGCTGGTTGCAGGGCAGCCAATGCAGAAGGCTGCTGGGCCCCAGTTGCGTCTGGTGGCTCCCCACCTTCAGAATGGGACACCCCAAGGGCAGGGCCAAGAAGCATGCCATTGTGGTCACTAGCAGAGGATGTGGACTTTGCCATAGTCCCGGAGGAAAGGGACTGAGACACTGCTACAGGAGTGGTCTGGGCAATTGAAGAACGAGATTGGTCTGAAAAAGCAGGTGGCACAGGAGACCTAGGCCGATCCTGTGCTGGAGGGAGAAGAGATTGTGGAGGAGGAGCCTGGACCATTCTTGAGGCAGGGGAAAGAGCCCGCTCGGAGGTCATTCTAGATTGGCTTGGGGCAGATGGTGGTGTTCTGGACCTGGCTCGCTCAAGCAATGAAGGTGAGCTTCTGCCACTGACACGCTCATATGCAGAAAGGGGCACCCTAGGACTGGTAAGGTTTGCACCAGACAATGCTGGAGTCATCCTGCCACTGGACAGACTTGCAGGGGCCAAGGCTGAAGGGGTTCTAGAGCTGGCAATGTTCACAGGAGCTGTGCCATGTGCAGATCGAGGCCCTACCAAGTTTGCAGGGGCCGGAGCCTGTGGTGTTCTAGAGCTGGAGGGATAATTTGCAGCAGTTGGGGGTGTTCCAGAGCCTGAGAGACTCAAAGCTGCCAGTGCAGCTGGTGTTCTGGCTCCTGCTAGGTTCACAGCTGTGGCTGTGGGGGTTCGAGGGTCAGCAAGGTTCACAGCTGAAGGAGCCACTGCTGTTCTGGGGGTGGCTAAGTTCATGGCTGCTGCTGCAGCTGGTGCTCTTGAGTCAGCCAAGTTCACTGCTGTTGGAATGGCAGGTGTCCTGGCACTGGCAAGGTTCATGGCAGCTGCAGATGCGGCAGGAATCCTACTGGCAAGGTTGGCGGCTGGGGCTGTTCTAAGGCTCATGAGAGGCACAGGAGCTGGAACCTGGGACATCCTTGCAGCAAGGCCAGCAGCAGACATGGATGGAGGTGGACGGGCAGTGCCCAGACTGATGGCTGTCAGGGCAAGTGCAATTCGAGACTGTGCATGATTTTCTGGCACAGATGTTCTTGGATGATCAGGAATCCGGGAACCTGGACCATCCATCATTGAGCCACCACCTTGCTGTAGGACAGACATGGGTGTTCTAGCACTACCAAGGGGTTCAAGCATTCCAGGTGATCTACATCGGTCAAGAGGAGTCGGTGACATGCTAGGACGACTGAAGCAGCTCATTCTAGAGCTACTTAGTGCTACAGGAGGTGTCCGAGAACCAGAATGATTCCTTGTTGCTGGAGGACTAGCAGAACGCGAACGATCAGAGCTACTTCCAGATGCAGAACGCCTACGGATGGCTGGGGGAGATCTTGTTAAGGACCGTTTACCTCCTCGAGCTGCTCGAGGGGTACGAGATCTTGAACGGCGACGAATGGCAAGTGGTGATCGACTTCGAGAGCGCTTGCGTGGCAACATTGGTGTTCGGGATCTAGAGCGCCTCCGAATAGCTGGAGGAGTTCTGGACCTTGAGCGGCGGCGTGTCACTGGAGAAGTTCTTGAACGGGACCGTCTTCGAGTGACTGGAGAAGTGCGAGATCGTGATCTCCTCCGAGTTACTGGGGATGTTCTGGATCTTGATCTTCTCCGAGTGATAGAAGTTCTGCTTCGAGATCGCCTTCTGGTTACTGGTGGAGTCCTAGATCTGGACCTCCTGCGAGTCACTGGAGGAGTTCTAGAACGGGAGCGACGGCGCGTTGTTGGTGTTCTGGACCTTGAACGACGGCGAGTTACTGGTGGTGTTCTGGACCTGGATCTTCTGCGACTCACTGGGGATGCTCTTGATCGAGATCTTCGCCGATTTACTGACGTCCTAGACCTTGACCGTCTCCGACTCACTGGTGAGGTTCGAGACCTGGACCTACGTCGGCTGATCAGGGGTGTTCTGGATCTGGATCGTCGATGAGTGGCTGGTGAGGCTCGAGATCGAGAACGTTTCCATGGGGCTGGAGATGTCCGTGATCGAGAACGTTTCCGACTAGTCAAGGGCGTGCGAGAACGGCCTCTTCGTCGTCTAGAGGAGGTTCGGGAACTCTCCTGTCTGGCAGGTGACCTTGAATGGTAACCAGAGCCACCTCTCCGCCTACGAGTGACCCGAGACCTAGACCGACTCCTCTGTCTTCTTCGGGATGCTGATTGAGAAGATCCAGACCTATCTCTGCGACGGGTTGTTCTTGTTTTCTCCCTGCGTGAGCGGGAACGGGACCGCTGGAGTCCACGAGGTTTTGGTGAAGGAGATCGGCCTCTCCTTGAGGTTGTCTTGGTACGAGGAGATGAAGCTGAGCGTCGCCGTCGTGAAGACCTTGACTTTTCAGTTGGTTCTGGAGAGGACACTGAGGGACTTCTTCGCCGTCTTGGTGGAGTTCTGGAGTGGGTTTCTGGTGATGAGGAAGCAGATCGACTTCTTCGGGATACTCTGGCCTTCCTGGTTAGTTCAGGAGATGATCGAGAGCTGCGACGCCGAGGTGGCGTTCGAGACTTGGTCTTTGGCTCCACTGAAGACCTGGAGCCTCTTCGAGCAGTTCTGGATTTGGGTGGGTGCTCTGGAGAGGACTCAGAACTACTGCTTCCTTCAGGAGAAGGGCCTCTACCTTTGCTTGATGAACCCGATCTGCTTCGTCTGGGTAGGGCCCGAGGGGCAGGTACTTTGGGTTCAGGAGAAGAATCAGTACCACTCTGAGCCCTTGGCAGTACTCTTGGCTTATCTTTCACTTCAGGAGATGATCCAGACCGGGGAGAAGGCCGAGATTTGCTATCAATCTCTGGAGATGATCCAGAGTGACTCCTCTGCCTAAGGGGGGTTCGAGTCTTAGCTTTAGAATCTGGAGAAGAATCTGACTCACTTCTTTCCTGAGGGGATGCACTGGGTTTCCCATCAAGCTCTTGGGAAGACCCAGAACGGCTTCTTTGCCCAAGAGGTGTCCTACACACAGTTTTCTGTTCAACTGATGACTCAGATCCACTTCTCTCTCTCTGAGGGGTGAGACATTTGTTGTTAAGCTCTGGGGATGATGGAGAACGACTCTGTGCTCTGGGAGTCTGAGGCAATGGTTTCGGTTCAGGGGAAGAGTCACATTCACTTCGCCCCCTGGATGGGGTTCTAGGTACATCTTTCATCCCAGGAGAGGACCCAGAAGGACTATGCCTAGAAGGAGTCCCAGATCCATCTCTAAGTCCTGGAGAAGACCCAGACCGACTTCTTCTTGATGGAGTTCTGGGTAAACCATCTTTCAGTTCAGGAGAAGATGCAGAACTACTTCTTTCCCTTGAAGATGTTCTGGGTACAGCCTCAAGTACAGGTGAAGACACACTCTGACTTGAAAATATTCCTCCTGCCTTTTCCACTACTTCTGGGGATAACTCAGAACTGCTGCGCCTAGAGGATCTTGCTGACTGTTCTTTCACATCTAGAGATGGGTCAGTGTCCATTTGACTTAAGAAAGGTCCATTCAAATCTTCTTTAACCTCAGGAGAAAAATCAGTATTTGATTCTGTGACAGGGCCTGAGTTTCTAATTTCCAAAGATGATTCAAAGCTAGTCTCCTGAGGGGAAGAATGAGACAGTTCTTTATGTTCTGGAGAAATATGTGGCCCGCCCCAACATGAAGCCACTGCAGGGATTTCTACTGCTTTTGAAGGCTCTGACTGGCTTTGATCAAGAACAGACAGTACAGAAGGCTTTTCTTCTATTTCAGGAGATGACTCAAAGATACTTTCAGCCTTTTCTTTAAGTTCTTGAGATAAATTGGGCAGAATTTGGTTTGAAGGTTGTTCAGATTTCTCTGCTTCCATTAATTCTTCATCTTGGCTTGACTTAGGTAGTGAACTATTTTGTTCTCTTGTGTCTGGAGGTGAGCCAGTTCCACTTCTTTCCTTTAATGGTGCTCTAGGTGTGTCTTTTAGCACTGAAGACTCAGGTCTATCATGCATAGGACTAAATTTGTCTCTTGATCTAGATGATGATGTTTGATCCTCTTGAGGTAAACCCATTTTCTCTTTTGATTCAGAAGGCTCCAATTTGCTCTGTAACAAAAGACATTTAGTGTCTACTGAAGGATATAAAGAAGAGTCAGGTTTAGACTTGCTCTGCTCAGGAGTCATTCCTGATTTCAGCATTGTATCTATTGACAATTCACTGTCTTGTCTTCTTGGTGATTTGGGTGCCAGCTCAGTGACTGGAGATGAAGACCTTGATAGGCCACCCTTAGAAGATGCTTGAGATGTGCTCTGCAGAGATGGAGATTCCAAGTGAGTCTGTCTCTGGACTTCTGGACTTGTTCTGTCTTCTGGACTTGAAGGAGATCTGGGGTCTGGAGAAATTTGAGATTGTCCTTTCTGTAGCAGAGATGAGGAGCCAAAACAGGTCTCCCCTGGTGATGCACTAGGTATTACTCCTAGACAGAGAGAGGATTCAGAGCTTTCTGCTGGTGAATCCTTAGACATCTCCTGGGGACATGGTGACTTTGATCCAGAAAGACTTTTTCCTGGAGAAGTCTGGAGATTTACTTTGGGGTATGGTGATGCAGACCCTGACTGACTTTGTCTAGGTGGTGTTCCAGGTTCCACTTTAGTGTCTGGTGAGGAGGATCTAGAACTTCTGCTGTGTCTTGGCAACAATCTAGATTCAACCTTGGAGCATGGAGTTGCTGATCTGCTACGTCTTGAAGGTGTTCTTGATATCATTCTACCAGGACTTGGAGAAGAGGAGCCAGAATGGCTTCTTTGTCTTGGTGATACTGTCTTCACTTTGGGCTGTGGAGATAACGACCTAGATGGGCTCTGTCTTGGGGGTGTGCCAGATTTCAATCGAGGAGAAGACCCAGAGCAGCTATGTCTTGAGGGGGTCCTAGATTTCACCTCGGGATCTGGTGATGATTCCGAACGGCTGTGTCTTTGTGGTGTTGTAGATTGTTCGTTGGCCTGCATACTTGTTACAGACCCTTGTCTTGGTGGTGTTTCAGATTTTACTTTAGGGTGAGGAGATGAACTTGAATTACTCTGTCTTGGTGGAGTTTTAGATTTCTGTTTAGGTGGTGAAGAACCAGAACGACTTCGCCTTGGTGGTGTTGGTGACTTTTGTTTAGGGCATGGAGAGGAACCTGAAAGACTTCGCCTCAAAGACAAACAAGATTTTGCTTTGGATCTTGGTGAAGAAAGAGACCTGCTTCGCCTTGAGGAAACGTAAGATTTTTTCATTTCTGGGCTTGAGTTGGATCTGCTCCTCCTTTGAGATGTTCTGGATTTATTCTTCCGCTCTGACGATGAGCCAGATCGCCCTCTTCTTTGTGGTGTTCTCGAGTGAGATCTTCCACGTCTAACTAGACTTCTACTGCGGGATCGTCGCCTAACTGGTGTTCTAGACCGAGATCTCCCTCTCCTGACGGGTGTTCTAGACCTAGAGCGACCACGTCTAGCCGGTGTTCTAGACCTTGACCTCCCTCTTCTAGCTGGAGTTCTAGACCTTGACCTCCCCCTTCTGGCTGGAGTTCTAGAGCGTGACCTGCCACTTCTCCTAGCTGGAGATCTACTACGAGACCTCCTTCGCACTGGAGATCGGGTCCTAGATCTGCGTCTAGCAGGTGTTCTCGACCGAGATCTGCCCCTCCGGGCTGGTGTTCTCGACCGAGACCTACGCCTGGCAGGTGTTCTGGATCGTGATCTCCGCCGTGCAGGTGTTCTAGAACGGGACCTACCCCTTCGAGCTGGTGTTCTAGAACGAGATCTACCCCTAGTGGCTGGAGATCTAGTGTGTGATCTACCTCGTCTTGCTGACCTAGACCTGCCTCTTCTCTGGGTATTTCTGCTCCTGGACCAGCCTGGTCGCTGTGGAGACCTAGACCGGCCACGCCGCTGGGGGCTTCTAGATTTTCCCCATCTCTGTGCAGATCGGGACCTACGCCACTGAGGGGACCGGGATCTAGAATGACCTCTCTTGGTAGTAGGAGATCGAGACCGAGATCGCCCCCTCTTAGCAGCAGGGCTACGGGACCTCCCTGTCCTACGTGATGGAGTATGAGAATGTGATTTATCCCTCTTTGCTCGGCCATGTGAGCGATTCTTAGACGTAGGAGAAGAAGAAATCTCTCGTCGAGCCCCAGGAGCTAGTATGGGTTTAGGACTTTCAGGAGAGGAGCTGGCATGCCGAGAAACTTTGGTAGGCTGGGGGGACGGTGGGCAGCTCTCTGAGGAAGAAGACTGGGGAGGTTTCTCAGGAGATTTAGGTGAACAGCCTCGGGTTGGGGAGGCCTCAGATGGGGGTATAACTGGCTCCTGACAGGATGGGATTGTTGTGAGGGGTTGTGGGGAGTCGCCATGTTGCTCAGCAAGGAGCGGAGTGGGAGCAGGTGGTTCTGGGCCTGTGCTGCTCCTTTCCGGAGAGGGACTAGGATGAGCTGCAGATTTCTAAGAGTGAAAGAGAAAAGTGGGGATAGAGATACACACCAAAACTTTGCTATTATCCCTAAAATCCCAATAGTTTCTGATAAAAATTTCTTTACACACCTCTTTATACCAATTGATTCTTTTCCTCCTCATAGCCACACTCAATATGTAGATATCATGTAACAGAAAGCATAAAGGGGGACCAGCGAGATGGCTCAGTGGGTAAAGGCACTTACAGCCAAGCCTGATGACCTGAATTCAATCCCTGGGACCCACACGGCAGGAGATAACCGACTCCTCTCCTCTAAGTTGTCCTCTGACCTCCACATGTGCATACGTACACTCACGTAATAATGTAATTTATGAAAATTAAATGTTACCTTAAATAATAGTCCAGAGGAAAGACAAAAATATACTATAAAAGTGAATAAATATTGGGCATGGTGGCACACGCCTTTAATCCCAGCACTTGGGAGGCAGAGGCTAGCCTGGTCTAAAAAGACCAAAAAAGAAAAAGAAAAAAAAAAAGAAAAATGTACTATAATTATCAACATATTTGATACCACCACAAAAAAGTTTAACAAAGAAGGGATTTTGTTTTGTTTTTTTGTCAAAAGGGCAGTACTGGGGTGCTGAGAATACATAGGAACAGTGTTACTCCTCAAAAAGGCAGTTTTAAAATAGAGAAAGAAGTTTCCTAAAGTGGGTAGCAATAACCTTACACCCTTAACTATATTAGGTTAGAAGCATGAACAAAAGTGGTTTTTTTT